TAGTGAAAAACAAAATCAGCTGATTTCTCAAAAACCCCATTTTTTCCCGAACTATCTTTTTGTTAGCATGGAACCCAAATGTTTAATAGGAACCGATTTTTGGAACAAATTTATTTAAAAAAATATTGTAATACATGTAATACATAAATGCATCTTAGTCAGCTTTTAATGAGAATCATTTGTTTGTTTATAATTACATCTGGTCACCAACCGATTAACCAACTTTTCACTACAATTTACCATTGGTGCAGTGACAAGTCTAGATATTTTTATAAAAGAATTTATTGATCACGGACCACCAATCTGTAGTGAAACAACTTGCCGAATATTTTCCTCTAACAACTAAAAAGAGTTCAAAGAAACCTACAACTTATCAGATTATCGAGCAACACAACATTACCATCATTATCTGATGATGAAATAGGGGTTTCGTGTTTGCAATAATATCGCCCCGTGCGTCACAAACTCAGGTACCAAATACAATTCGAACGCATTTTGATTTTTTTTTTTTTTTTTTCATTTTATGAAATATAATTTGTAAAAAAAAAGAAAATAACTTTTGCATTTTTACTATGAAAGATAATGATAATTAGCTTCTATACTAATCCAAATTTATCAATATATATCAATACACATGTAAACCTGTTAAGTCGGTCATTTATTTATATTAACAAATATTTTATACAGTTGATTGTTGCGTCGGATTTATTGAGTTTAATCATTGAGATTATTAAAAAAAACTCCGTGAATAAAAGTATACAGCGAGTCTCGGTTTAACGGTTCCGTTAAACCGAGAGACCGCAAAAGCGAAACTTATGAACAAATCACGTGATATAAATCAAAAAAAAAAAATTTTTTTTTTATTAAATTCGTCATTCGACATCGTTTTACTTCTTAGGTACTTTTACAAAAAAATACTCTTTTAACTTCAATGATATTTTTAATCATTTGAGATCAACTTGTAAATCTTTTTGTTGTATATATTTACTGTAAGTGCATTTCCCAAATCATTTATAGTTTTTGTACTTGTTACAGTCGGCTTGATTATGTTTTCAACATCCTCATTATCTTCAACTTCAGGTTGTTCCAACACAATGCTTACAATTTCTTGTTCTGGTTAATCATAATAAATTCGTCAGCATTATTAATATTAATAATACATTACGTTATCACGCTTATATCCAAAAAGGCAAAGATCATTGTTATCTGCAATATCGAGGAAAATTTGTTATTATTATATTAATATGGATTTTTAAAAAATATCCGGCAAACCGAATATATTAATATTAATATTAATATTATAATTAATATGAATCCGTTAAAGCGAAATAAAATAATTATAGAAAAATTTGGTTTTTGAAAATTTATCTGTTAAACCCCTAAACCGAGACTCAGTAAAATACATTATACTATCATTAATACGCAAAATCAAGCCATTCCCATGAAATAGGACATCTATTCATAATACAATCCTTTGTCCGAATGACTCATAATAATAAATACATACATAATTAATGTTAATACTAATATTAATATCAATCAATCTTTAATTCGAATTTATCTGTTCAATTGGTTTATTTTAGTATTAGACTAGTACTATTAATATTAAAGTATTAGATCTCAATTTGAAAGGATCAATTTAAAATGACATAACGTCCCACTTTAATTGTAAATCTTTATTCCAGTATGTGAAATGAAGCCACGTTCACATTATCGACTAAATGAAAGAGAATAAAAGCATGTTTAGACTAATTATTAATCTCCACGTAAATTTCTTGACAAATAAAAAAATATATATATACTAATATTTAACCGGTTAATTGACCGGTTAAGGGGTTTTGCCGTTCCGATTTCTAGAACTATTGTTTTATTTTGAATCTCCATTTTTATTCGGTTGCTCAAATTACTAGGACTACTGCACATTTATCATCTACCATCATTTGATTACTAGTACTAGATTACTTACTGCTACTATTTTTATTGCTACTAGAAAAAAAATCAATCACTTGTATTGATTATCATTACAAGGGAGGGAGGCAATTACTGCAACCATTATTATTATATCGGCTAAAAAAAATTTTTTTGATCTTGACTTTATTGTTATTCGAATTATTTGTTACCATTATTCATATTATTATTGTTGTTGTTGTTGTGGTGGTGGTTATTGTTATTATTATTATTCATTTTATTGAAACAATCATTCAATGTAATTCAAATATCTTGATGACACAAAAAAAAGAAAAAGAAGTTGTTAAATTATCTACATACAGTGCAGGACACCTAATCCCGCAACTTACTGCGCCACGACGACGAATTTTGGGAAAAAATTTCCAATCAAAAA